TCTCATCTTCAATGCCCTTGCTGATGGAAGGAGATTTTCACTCAAAATCTCTCGATACATGGGCCCATTCATTCTTTCCTTTACACAGATCAGTCGTCCTGGTCCCTTTGCAGAAAAACAGCCCCAAAGCTTGATGTTTCCACCCCCATGCTTCACAGTGGGTATGGTGTTCTTCGGATGCAATTCAGTATTCTTTCTCCTCCAAACACGAGAACCTGTGTTTCTACCAAAACGTTCTATTTTGGTTTCATCTGACCATAACACATTTCCCCAGTCCTCTTCTGGAGCATCCAAATGCTCTCTAGCGAACCGCAGACGGGCCTGGACGTGTACTGGCTTCAGCAGGGGGACATGTCTGGCAGTGCAGGATTTGAGTCCCTGGATGCGCATTGTGTTACTGATTGTTGCCTTTGTGAATGTGGTCCCAACGCTCTGTAGGTCATTCACTAGGTCCCCACGTGTGGTTCTGGGATTTTTGCTCACCGTTCTTGTTTTCTCATTTTGACGCCACGGGATGAGATCTTGCATGGAGCCCCAGATCGAGGGAGATTATCAGTGGTCTTGTATGTCTTCCACTCTCTAATAATTGTTCCCACAGTTGATTTATTTACACCAAGCGTTTTACCTATTGCAGATTCAGTCTTCCCAGCCTGGTGCAGGTCTACAATTTTGTCTCTGGTGTCCTTCGACAGCTCTTTGGTCTTGGCCATATTGGAGTTTGGAATGTGACTGACTGAGGTTGTAGACAGGTGTCTTTTGTACCAATAATGAGTTAAAACAGGCACCATTATTACAGGTATCGAGTGGAGCCTCGTTAGACCTCATTTGAAGAAGTTAGACCTCTTTGACAGCCAGAAATCTTGCTTCTTTGTAGCTGACCAAATACTTATTTTCCTCCATGATTTTTAATAAATTCTTTAAAAGTCAAACAATGTAATTTTCTGAGTTTTTTTCCCACATTCTGTCTCTCGTAGTTGAGCTTTACCCATGTTGACAATTACAGGCCTCTCTAATATTTTCAAGTAGGAGAACTTGCACAATTGGTGGTTGACTAAATACTTATTTGCCCCACTGTATGTGTGTATTTTAAAAGTGAATACTCACCATTAACGTGAAGGCTTTCCGTTCCACACGATGGTTAAGCAAAGCTAGCGGAATTATAGTAAGCTTGCCGGGTCTGTACGCGGAGTTGCTGCTGGCTAGCTTGCACCCTGCTCAGTAGCTTGCACGCTTCCTTTCTGGAGTCTCCTGCAAGGTATTTTGATGTGAACGTAGCATGGCGAGTTTTAAAGTGCCGCTTTACATGAACGACCGTTTCATCCGTGGTGTTTTGTCATTGCAAATTAGACACGCCGCAGAACCTGTTCTCTCCACAAAGGCGAATCCTTCAGTCCATTCGTCCTGAAGTGTACCATACTCGTCATCTTTTTTTTCTTTTCGCCATCTTATTCGTCGAAGAATTAGCTTTGGGCTAATGACCGAGCGGGCTGATTCAAAAGGGGGCGTTTACCTGTTACCCAGCATGGCTGACGTAGGCCAGTATCATCCAATTGCAGCCAACTGCAGCCCTGAACAGGACACGAGCAGTGAAAAGTCGATGGATGGAATAAACAAGCGAGAATGTTTTATCTGCGAGCCAGATGCAGTCATCAAAAGAGCCATATATGGCTCGTGAGCCATAGGTTCCCAACCCCTGCTCTAAATTGTCCCTTGGTGGTATTGTGAGCGCGGATGGTAGTTAGTCTATATGTGCCCTGCGATTGGCTGGCAACCAGTTCAGGGTGTACACCATCTACTGCCCGAAGACAGCTGGGGTAGGCTCCGGCATGCCCCGCGACCTTCGTGAGGATAAGCGGATCAGAAAATGGATGGATGGATGGATGCAAGTTATATCTGTGACTACTACAGATTGTTCTTTCACTTACAGAGGTGTACCAACAATGTGCGTCGGGAAATCATTTTTGACATTGGTGGATGTCTTCACTGTTGAACCGTCTTTTCTCGGTCTACTCACCCCTGCCACAGCTTGTGCTAGCAGGGTCTTTCCACAGCCAGGAGGTCCATGGAGGAGAAAGCCCCTGGGAGGAACCATTCCCAGCTGCTGGTATATCTCTGGGTGCCGCATGTGAATGAGCAGTTTACATACTTCCTGCACAGTATTATTAAAATGAATAATATAAAACAGGTTACATTTAAAGAGTTGCAAAAATAAAACTACACATTAAATAGCTTATTTGCAGTTCAGCTATGGTGTGAATGTTTTAGTTAAGAAGAGGCGCTGTTGGCATTTCGAGAAAATGTAGTCCGTGTTCGATTGAAATGTGAGTTCATGGTCAATTACAGAGCCAAATAATTATTTCAAAACTGCATTTTATATTTCCTTGGGCTGTGTCTGTGTGAGATTAAAATTGGTTTGATGAACTGCCTTACCGTCAATGTCGCTTCATTACCACCCACATCTTCAAACTTCAGAGTGGGATACTGCAGCTTTGTTGATCTTGATTTTGCCAAGGCAGTTCCTTAATTTCAAGAGCACAACAAGCAAAATGCTGTCGTCAAATTGTTTTCAAATTCTCTGTGCACCTGCAGGCTTTTCACAATTCTGTTGACAGCTACGAATGTAATTTCTGGCCATAACAGAGCAATGTCACTTCTATACATTCTGTATGCTTTTCATTGGACAGCAGCAATGCTGTGAGAACCATTTAATTTTCTTTAATGTTTGATTTCTATAACACTTCCAGGATAACTAGGGAAGACGTTGGTTTGCTGCTACCAGAATAATTTGCCTGTTGTTTTTTTGTACTCTATTCTCAGAGGTCTCCTGTGATGGTGAACACTATCAAAGCTTTGCAACAATTATGAATTACTGCAACATCCTCCACAAACAGTTTGTTTTCAACAAGCGGTAGCTAAGGTTGAGAAAACACTCGCAGCATGTTACAAAATAGAACTGCTTTATACTGAACTTCACTTTGAATCAGTGAATATTATTAATTTGTAATTCTTACTTGACACAGTACCACGGAAGCGCAAAACACAACAAACTAGACATAACAGCAAATTTAAGAAGACAAAACTTAAGAACAAAACAAAATATAAACGCAACAATATCAAAAAACAAATTAGAAAATAACTAAACCAAACAACAAAAGAATTTAACAACTGAAATGAAGAAAAAAAAAATGATTTTTTTTTTTTTTTATCTTTAAGCTATACCACGCAACACTAAGACAAAAGACAATTTTGTCCTATTAATCAATTCATTAATTAATTGAACAATCAATTCTTAAAATGTTTGACAGTAACAAACCCATTTGCGAAGAAAAGCCATAACAGAGATCAGGTCAAAAATAAAATAAGACAAAAAGAAATGGTGTTTTTGTAGATTGATCGAGAAATCTATGAGCAAAATTGTATCATGTTTAAAGTTTCATTTAATTTGGGCACGTCTAGACATTTGGGTGCGTATCCAGCGCCCCAAAATGCCTGTGCGCAGGCCTCGGCCGTCTGGGCAGAGGGCTTTTGAAATCCACAATTATCACGTCAAAGCAAGGGGGCGAACAGAGGGAAGAAGGCTAGACTCGGTCACAAAGTGGGGATAAACAATTCGGGAACAAAGCTTTCTTGAACAACAAAAGACGGTTTGAGAACGCCAGTCGCGCCCAGGTGACATTTGTCATCTGCAAAGTCTGCAACTTGTTGATTCATTGTAGACCAGACAGAAAGGCGTCAACGTACCGGTGAATCAAAGCTTAAACCAAGGTAACCAATCACTACCATGGGGCCGGACCGGGGGCGTGGTATGCAAATATCGGGGGCAGTGTTTTTCTTGTATTTTGCATATGGTGTGCCGAGAGCTCAAACTGGCGGACAGGCAACTCTGAGCGTGATTACCGGGGCAACAACCGTCGTTCACCCTCAGCGATCCCTCCCGCCGTTAATGAAGACAATTTTCCCTGTGTGCCGAGTCATTTCTTTAACTTTGTCCGAGAAAAACTCTGACATAGATCCACATTGTTACACTCCCACACACTTCAAACAGTTCCCTAAATGACAAGCGTGTAATTTGTACTTTCTAGACAGTAAAAATCTATAAATATGCAAGATGGCTGAATGGTTAATATAGGTACTCCAGACTCAATGTCAGAAGAAAAGTAATACAGGTTGGATTATACTATAATCCAGTCAAAATGCTTTCAAAGTAGGATTTCCTGGAGCATGAAACATACCTTTCTTGCTCGTAGACAGGGTCTTTGCATTTTCATCCGTCTTTTTTCTTTTTCCTGATTTCTTAGAAGGCTCCAACATGGAAACTTCTTTCTGTTGATAAAAACAATATTTATGTAACAATCTCACTCAAGAAAATCTTTCATGAAAAATAGTTTGTAGATATCAGTGATCCAATTTCTTTCTTTCTGTCAGGGACAGCACATATTAATAAGCATTTCAGAAAATATGCCAGAATTATCCAGAAGGCTGTTTTTCATTTGCAGTCCCAGGACAGATGGTCCCACCCTTAAGATAAAAATAAATGTATTATAACAATAACAATACAAAATAAAAGTACTATTCAATTGAAATTACATGTTGACAAAGCAAAGCAATCCATTCATCCATCCATCCATCCATCCATGCATCCAGCTATTTTCTAATCAGCTTATCCTCACAAGGTTTGCAGGTGTGCTGGAGCCTATCCCAGCTGTCTTTGGGCAGTAGGTGAGGGACATCCTGAATCGGTTACCTGCCAATCACAGGACCAGGGATGACAATGGCTAGTGATGAAAAAAGCGGAATGGGCGTGGCCTGGATGGGGGCGTGGCTTGGACGGGGGCGTGGTCACTTACAAAAGTGGCACTAAACATGCTGAAGATGAAGTGTATTCAATTTACACACCATTTGAAACTTAAACAGAAAAAAAAATCACAAGATTGTTCACTATTCTTTCATGTGAAAATTTGTGCAATTTTGCTTATGCATTCCTGGTGAGCACCAATATGTACAGTAACTTCAAATTTGCTGCTGAAAATCAAAACTAAAAAAGGAAACACATTCCCTGCCATATTTAAGATTTGTTCATTACTTGTATTCATAAAGTGTTGTGTAAATGTGATAAAAAGCTGTTGATTCTTACCTCATACAGTGATAGTGAAGTCCCACACTGTTTACTATATATGGGTTATGAATGTATTTTATTATATAAAGTGGATGTCTATTTACAGTATATACAACAATATACAGTTTCATGAGGTAGAATACTTTATTTTCTCTTCATTTTAAGCTTTTTAGCAAGCGCTAAAAGCGTATTGGTCCTCTCCGTCTTTTTCCACTCTCTTTTTAGCCAACTCCTCTTGTTTTTACACATGCTCCAGGCTGTCGAAAAGCGCTTGAGATCGAGTAGTTACTTTTCAGTTCCTCTTTACTGTTTCCTACTGGGGACAACGTCAGCTTTCTATTCAACCAGTCCCATCGGAACATGTTTTTCAGATCCACATCTATCTGACGCATTTTTTAGCTTCGTCGCGAGTCTCGATAACGTTCGGCTTTCGTGAGAAAGGGTTTTAGGAAGGCGAACACGGATTGGTCGTGATTTGTATTTGCCGATATAGCGACCAATAACAACAAGTAAGACATCATACACGTCCAATCGCAGGGCTGTTTACAATCGGAAGATGGAAAGACTGATCGGGAGAGCTCGTGAAAACTCGACGATAAGGTACCTGACCCCCCCAAAAATTTTCTCAACGGATTTAGACGATTCACAAAAATGATCAATTTAAGAAATAAAACGGCGGATTTCCGCGTATCCGCGGAAAATTGCCATCCCTGCAGGACACACATAGACAAACAACCCTCCACTTTCGGGTTCAATCGAACCCGAGGGGTTCGGTGAATCGGTCTCAGGGGTTTGACAGAGCCTCTGCCAAGGAGGTTAAGACACGCCCAACTCAACAAGTCAATTAGTTATGACACGCCCGCTTTGCCATTACTGGCTGGTTCATTTTGTGCACAATTAAAAAATGTATACTTTATAATTATACTAATTGTGTTTACATTTTTTCTCTTTTTAATAAATGCATTTTTTTTTATGTCTTGAATTTGTAAAAAAATAAAATAATAAAGTAAATCATACTTTTTTTTTTCCCCTAATGAAGGGTTCGGTGAATGTGCATATGAACCAGTTGGGTTTGGAACCTCTAAGAAGGTTAAGAACCACTGATTTAGAGCAGTGGTTCTTAACCTGGGTTTGATCGAATCCTAGGGATTCGGTGAATCGGTCTTAGACCGATTCACGCCGTCGAACCCCTTAGATTCGAAGGCTTTCAACGACGCCTCTGCCATGGAGGGTAAGACACATGCGACTCAACATGTCAATTAGTTATGACACGGCCGCTTGGCCATCACTGGGTGCAGATGATCACATTACTTTGCTTGTCCAATCAGTGTTGCGGGAAATTTAGTTCGCTCAGTAGTCAAGTGTGACTGTCATGATCGTATGTTGTAAAATTAAAACAATTTATACTTATGTCTTAAATTTTATGTACTTTTTTTTCTGTTTTTAATGAATGTGTTTTTTATGTTTGGAATTTGTAAAAAGTCATATTTTTGTTTTTCACAAATGAAGGGTTCGGTGAATGTGCATATGAACTGGTTGGGTTCGGTACCTCGAACAAGATTAAGAAGCACTGATTTAGAGTATTGTATTCCATTAACCTGCCATGCATGCATTTTGGAATATGTGAAGAAACCGGAGTACCCGGGGAAAACCCACACAGGCACAGGGAGAACATGCAAGCTCCATACAGTAAGGGCGGAGCCCGAATCGAACCCTGCATCTCTGCACTGTGAGGCGGACATGCTAACTAGTCAATCACTCTGCCCAAAACAATACATTTACTATAAAGTACGATTAACCTAAAGTGTACACTGGAAATACAACGGACCAACAATGAGACAAACATACCGTATTTTCCGCACTAAAAGACGCACTGGATTATGAGGCGCACCTTCAATGAATGGCTATTTTGTAATTTTTTTTTCATACATTGGACGCTTCACATTATAAGGCGCAATCTACAATGCCGCCACTAGATGGTGCTACGCTCCTTCCATTCAACTCGAGAGGCTTGTTCAACTTGAGAGGCGTTCATGACCGCCTCTGAAAAATGTAAATTAACTATTACTGTACTTAAATGAAACTACGAAAATTGAAAATAATGCATCAAAACAGAAAATCAAGCGAGGAAATCACAAAATAAATTCTATATCCCCCCTACAGAATTTATTTTGTGGTTTCCTCGCTTGATTTTCTGCATGGTTTCATTGAAGTAATAATTAATTTACGTTTTTCGGAGGCGGCCATGAACGCCTCTCGAGTGGAACGGAAGAAGGCACG